ATAGATAGATAGATAGATAGATAGATAGATAGATAGATAGATGTATGGGAATATAAAAGAGGAAGAAAGAAAGAATAGCATTTATTAAGTACTTAGTGCAAGGCTTAGAGAAATTCCTACAGCCTTATCATGAAAAACTTAGCATTATAGACTTAGGGCTGGAAAGGATCATTATAGAGGTTATCCAAACCAACCCTCTTCATTTTACAGATGAGGAATCTCATGCCCAGAGATGTAATTGACTTGCCCAGGACCACACAGCTACTAAGTGTCAGAGGCAGGATTCTAACTCCCCTTTTCCCTAACTCAGTTCAACACCATCATGCTGCATTACAGAAGAGACTTCCTTTATATCCTTTCAGCTCAAATAATCGAGTCCTTTCCCCACCAAGCCTTTGTTCCCTTAATAGCTGTGGGTGGGTTCCTACCTTTCTCCAGGCTAAGTTCCTTTTACAAGTAAACCACATTCTCAATTCAAGTTGCTTACAGTTGTAACTAGGGAAACAATACATGAGCATCAGAGAACAGTGTAAGATGCACAAGTCCATACACGTAGTAGGCACTTGTTTGTTGGATGAGTATATGATTACATGCCAAAACAAGTAGCATGCAAGTAAAGAGTCATGTGGGAGGAAATGGTGAGGTATTTTCCTGGAGAAAGTGGAAGGCAGACTGGACCTGGTTGGATTTGGATACGTGGTATAGACAAAAGGAGGTGAATGATGGGGGTAGGGAGGAGCAGGATGGGCAAAGGATTGGTGGTGAATCTAAGCATTTTATGTTTTAAGGACAGTGAGCAGACTGAAGTAGGATCATAGAATCATAGATTTAGTCTACTAGGCCAACCCCTTGGATCTGGGAGCCTGCCCTAATCCCTGGTTTAGGGAAACTTTTATCCTCAAACCTGGCTTCATGCCCACTGACAAGGAACTCCTGTTATTCAATCCTGTCATTTTTTCCATCTTTTCTCCAGGCCAAGGACATTTCTTCACTTTAATGGC